TATGAATATACATGTCACAGGACGTGTGGATACCACCTTCACATATTTTAGTAGTAAATGGATTTTACACTGTGCAAGCACAGAAACATGTACTGGTACAATACAGGGATGTCCTTCTCCCCCAATCAAAGTAAGATATAATGGTTTGAAAGGAAAATGAAAAATATTCTATCCAATGCTTTGCCCCAATGTTCTGGGGTTTGAGGAAATAAAAGATCAAGTTGAAAGGAAAGAAGAAGGTATTTAAAATAGTTTTCACCCTTTTCTAGGAACTGGTGAAAATCTTTGAGTTGCATGTGATTTTGGCTTTATGTGCTATCCCTGGAACATGACGCCCCACGCAAGTTGAGAGTTGCCTGTACAAAGCCCTTAAAGAATTGGGTCCAGTGTACCTTCAGAACCACTGAAATCATCTGGAGGCGTAAAATCATTTTCTTCACTTAGAATGCAGAATACATTTTAGTCAATGAGTTGCTGTGCTGCATTATAGACCAGTCAGATATGTATGTACAGAGGTTGTTGAGATTGCAAATGAGGCAACATGTATGATAATGACTTAAAGGCATTGTACTACATTCAAAGACATGTGAATCAACTATAAACTGTTCATAATTTCCATATAGTAGATGGAGCTGGCTTTCTGCTAGCTTGATAAATGTTAACCAATTTAAAATTAGCAATATATAAGCAGGCATTTTACAAACAGTTGTCTAAAATGTTGGACATCAGCTGTACAGTAGCAATATGAATGTTCCTGCCTACTTAATGTATCAGAGAAGGTCAAAATGGTTAGTTGAGCAGCCACAATCTCTAAGAAAAACTTAAACAGGAGACCAACAGAAATTAACATTTTAGAATTTAAGTTTATTGTCATATTTATTTCCAATATTTTTATAAAACAAACAGGACACAAATAAACAAAGCCAGTAGGAAGGAAGGAAGGAAGGAAGGAGAGTAAGAGTTCACTTATCAGGGGAAAGGAGCCAAAAATAGTTACAACAAGAAAAAAAACTGTTCACAGAATTGAAGAGGTACCTATGAGACAATGGGTGGTGGTATGCCATGCACTCAAAAGGATGCAGCACTCAAGACTTCTACTCTTTGGTAAGCAGATGCAGAGGATTTGTTCGTCAAGTATTGGAGTACAAGCCACTTTAACAATAGCAGGGCATAAACATCTACCTCTTGTGGGCTTCTGAAAGGCCTCAGACCACTCAATATTTTAGAGAGAGGTTCATGTAGGAGAATCTTAGACCAGTTTTCACATGATTTATTGAAAGCACATCTCTTCTAAGAAGAAAGCCACTACTGGGCATCGCCACATCATGTGTAACAATAAATCAGGGTTGAATCCACATTGCAAACTTTTAACTTCAAGTTGTTTATTGTTCTGAAGAATCAGAATTGTGTCAAGTCGGTTCCAAACATCAGTTTTTGTTGTATTAAATGCAATCAAAAGGTCCAATGCTGAAAAGCAGATAGTGGCAAGGGTTGATGTAAAAGTCCTCAAACTGTGGCCTATAAATCACAAACTCAATTCAGGTGATCCATAAAAGGTTGCAAAACAGTGCTTGGTCCTGCACTTGATTATTATTTTTCTGATGGAGATCAAGGTTGTTTTGACTCAGCTGGATTATCAGCCAGGGAAATTCCATGATTTTCATAATATGATGCTGATTTGATTATGCTGGTGCTAAAGAAAAAGTGCTTTTAAAATATGAGTTGTGGTATGTGCTTTGATTTGATTAATAATAATAAAGTAATCAGAGGGGGAAAAGCTTGAGAAAAAGAACCAATGAACATCAGCTCTATTTTTCTCTTACAAGACTACATTCAGCCTTCCTTCCACAGTAAGATAGCAATACTTGCATTTGAAAACGTATGGTACTGCCTCAGAGTCTATAACAATCCTGGAGGACTTGATCAGTCTTTCTTGTACTTAACAACTCAAAAATACCTATGCACAAATGACACTTGTAGAGTGTCTAGATACCAAACCCTCTTGAGAGGAATGTAACAGAAAATGAAAACTTCCAGCACATAAACACCAATACAGCTGTTCTCAGTAAACCCAGTTGTCCTGCTATCTGTAAACATGGATTACACCAAAGCATAATCTTAGCATGGTTGAAGGAACTAAAATGAAACTACCCTCTGAGAACACAGCATGCCCCTTTGGCTCCCACTACTGTGGGGAGGAGCAAAGTTAGTTCATCCATAATGAATGGATCCAAAAATGACCTATTCTGAGAGAAGTGGCAAATAAAAAGCTTATAGGATAGCCCATGAAAGTATCGTGGATAGAGGGGAAGGGGCCCCCTGCCATTTTGGGTAGGAGAACGTAATTGTTCTCACAAGTGATTTTGTAATCTAAAGAGGGAAACACAGGGAGGGTGGTTACAAAAATGAGACATCTCACTGCGTCTGGGAATGTTACAATGCAGTGGAAGGTGTATAGTTGTAATCTTCCCTTGGACTGTACCACTTGGAAAGTTGTATGACATTGAGGATATAATTCTGCAAAATTTGCAGATGTTTACTTCATCACTAAGCTGTGAGAGCCTGTTAATAAAGCAACCACTTTTATCCATATGAACTTGAGTATCTATGTATATGGCTGTGTGTCCTTCCTATGGCTCTAAGTCAGTCCCAGAGGAACCAGGGACCAAAAGCAGGGGGAATAAAAATCAATGATGTAGTATTTTTCAATGAATTAAAAAAAAAAAAATGTCAGAATGACATTTTCACAAAATGTTGTGAATACTAAATTTCCTTTAATTAAGTATGGTAATATTAAATTTTGGTATCATATGGTATAAGGATGTTAACTATATAGTTTACATCTCAACTGATCAATACCTCTGCCAGAGACATAGTTTAAGGAGGCGCCTAAGTGATGAACCAATTTGATCACTTCTCAAATGTTAATATTTACACAGGCATTTCATTTTCATCTCATGAAAACAAATTGTTCTGGTTTGCTCAGTAAATATCAAGCCCTACTTCGACCTATCACTCACAGGCATTTCAATTTTGTTTGATACTCTGTTTTTGTGAGGATGGGGCTGTGCCAAGGCAGAGTGAAGAAGAAAGAAACAGCTGTAAAAAGAAGAATTGTAGACTTGGAAAGGTCACCTGAAAATGGCAACAGACTGGAAGTGTCCTCACTTAGGAAATGCTTAAGCAACACAATGAATTTCAGACCAGGTTGCTGGGACAAAACAGTTGTCTTTATTAAGAATAATGAACCATGATGCACACTAGAATAAATTATAATACAGGTCAGGGATACCAACATGGAACCCTCCAGATGTTGTTGGACTACAACACTCATCATCCCTGTCTACTGGTCATGCTGGCTGCTGCTTATGGGAGTTGGAGTCTAACAATCTCTGGAGAGCACAATCTATCACTGTTCTAAGTAATCTGAAATGTTACAGGAAGAAAGAAACAACTTGCAACTTTCTATACACCAAGTTCAGCTTGCTTTACCTGCCCATTCTCTTCAAGTTTTGCCCAAAAAGGCTGCATAAGTTTACAACAATATGCACACACACATATTATTCTACAGACAACTTGCCGTAGAAAGCCAAGGGTAACTAGCCATAGGGGCTAGTAGTAACAACTGATAAAAGGAAGAAGGGCAAGTAATGGCACCAAACAGACACATTCAAGCTAAATATTCTCTAAAATCGTCATAATGCCTCCTTACAACCCATCTCACTATTATTTTGAAAAGAAACAAAAACTACAGTAATTGGAATTAGAAAATTTGAAATATTTCCATTTTCTTGGTTTTTTATTCAGTTTGCATTTGGCCTGGAAACCTGGCAAGCATAATCTCTGCTACAAAAAATGAGCAGCACAACAGCACATGTTAAAGTTTCTTTCTTTATCAATCCGTGCATCAGAAAGCTGGAGAAAAGATTCCCCCAAAGTAGAATTGCTATTCCTCAATTCAAAGAAGAGTTCTGAGGCAACTGGAAGCAGCTAAACATTTACAGCCCAAATCCTTAGCATTTTCTCAGAAGTGTTATTTTGGGCAGTGAGGCTTGTTCCTAGGTAAGTGTGCACAGAATAGCAGACTTACAGCCTTACAGCATACAGTATGCTTACTCCAACAGAGATCATGCAAGCATGAATAGGACTAAAGTCTTAGAACACTATTTAGCAAAGGGCAGGCTAATCTGCAAGCCTCCAGATGTTACTGGATGACATTTCCCATCACCCCAGTCAATGGCAGTTCAATGGTAAGGAATGAGTATATTTGTAATCCACCAACATCTGGTCCCACCCCCTAATTTATGTAGAGGGTGTTAATTCAACCAATTGGTGTTTCTGTTATTAAGAATCATTCTAATCAATTCAAATCTGAATCACAAGAGTGGAAACTGTTCACAAACTGCAAGGAATTTCAAAGCGGTACAAAGCACAAGTTCCCAATTTTAACCTTTTGACTCTTCATTCTATTTAAAAATTTCAGAAATTTGAATAGCCATTAATGGTGTACAAAACTGTCTTACAAATGCTTTTAACATGCATACAAATGCAACCTTAAACAGCAGACTGAAAAGGGAAGACATAAAGTTGCACATTTATTAAGGTAAGAAATTATTTTCTGAACCAGATGAGAGGCAAAGAACAGAGAACAATTTTCAGCTCATCCAAAGGATTCCACATTTTTAAACAGTTTTTACTGACATGTAGATGAACACATTTGCTGCAAGAGCTGCAGTAACTATTGAAGACATTATGGGCTGTAGAAGCCTGTGTAAGGGCTCCCATTGGCACAATGAAGCTTTCCTCCCTCCTCTTATCCCAGATCTGCTCTGGAAGGTTGGGAGAACTCCCAGAATAGCGTGGGGCGGGGGGAGAGGAGGGGATTATTCAATCAGACAAGCAGAAATGCTTCTGCTGATGAAACAATCTATTTAGAGGTAGGTTGAATTCCACCCTTTATCCAGTTTGACATTCCAGTCATCTAATGAAATGCTTCTTACCATGGCCATGGACTGTTCCTGGACTAAATGATGGCTGCTGTAGATCTTTGGTTGGAGTAAGATAGCCTTCTTTTCCTTGACGCTGGCTCATCTTTCCTGGACTCAGAACATGAGCTTCATCGTTGTTTGTTACCACACCTGAAAAACAAAGAGGATTATTAATTAATTATTCACTGCACACGGTGTTTTACAGAGTACAGGTCCATGCACAAGGAGAAACAAAGGAGGGGGGCAAACCAAAGGCAGGGTATATAGGAGGCCCGTCCAACTCCCAAGAGACTGCAATCTACTTCCAATTAAAAAAACTGGCAGTGGTCTACGAGAGTTGAGCTTTTGGGGGGAGGATGCCCCAGAGTTGTTGAGCTTAGGCCAAGTTACAGTATGGCATGGGAATGAGAGGCTTACACCAATGGCTTCACACAAATGGTGGGATTTGAGGGAGGATTTAAAGGAAAGTAAGAATGCACAGTTGTTCTGGGAAATGGTTGCAAATATGGGAGGAAAGGGTGGCATCTTTTGAGAAAGCAGGATTTCCTCAGGGGCTGGAGCTGGAAAAGATAAAATTATGGGCAGGGATGCACTGGATATACGAGCGGGAAGATCAGGGTGGACACATTAGTCTTCACAATGGACATGCTATTCCTCACGTACAGACATATTAATGTCTTCCAGTGTTACTAAGAGTAAAAAGGAATTTGCTGCCCCATGAGGTCATCCCATGCCACTCTGATAACTTTAAAATATCATTTCAGGCACAAGCCTATGAACACAGCTGCTTCCCAATCCAGAGGTCTATAAAACTTTTTCCTATATCAATTTCAAAAAAAAATTTGCGCAGCATTTTCAGTCCTACCTATACTATTAATCACATCTTCCTATAACCTTTAGACCAAACATTCCCAATATTAAATTTCTAAAGCTAACCAAATAGTGGTACCAACAAACTGGACAGATCCTTCCATGTTCAAAAAACTATGTCTTAGAGTTGTACACGTTTTAATTAACAGCTTAAGTAATACCGTAAACATCATAACACCCATTCATAGATTCAATCCCAAAGAGTATAGCTTTTATAGAGCATTAACTTCCAATCTAAGAAAATATACCTGTTTATTTTTGAGATACTGCTGCCTTTTTGTTAATAAGAATTGCACATTCTAATGTCATGCCATGTTGCTTCAAAGCCCCCACTTTTTAAATCTTTCAATACCGCTACACTGCCCTCTAGAGACTTCACTATGAAAGTGCAAATTTCTTCCATTTTTCCATCAGTAGTGATTCTGTTCTGCTCTTGGAAAATATTGCACTCTCAATATTAAAATATTCACCATAAATTTATTGTGGTTAACAGACCAGAGATAAGACCAAAAATAAAGCCATACAATGTACCATACTTAAGTATAGGGCAAAATGCAAAGCAAAAGCTTGGGTAAAGCAAATTCTAAGGGATATTTCTTTTCCAGACCTTTTGACTTACTCATCCACAACCTGCTCATCTTGTTCCTTAAGACTTTTTTTATTATGCTCCTTTTCAGTTAGCTGCTTCCAAGTGGAAACTCACATGTTGAATATTTTAGGATACAAGTAAATCCCATCCACATAGAAAAGCAGGTATCAGGGAGAAAGTTGCATGGGGTTTTAAATATTTTTCAGATGGAGGAACACTTGATTCTGCAATTCGCCACATACACTTAGAAGCAGAACATCTCAAATATTTTACCCCGTCAATGATAATTAGGGCGTAATTACCAAGACTACTCTACCGTAGAGAAGATCCTGACATGACAGGTTAAGCCACTGATTTATCTGCAAAATTTAAGTAAGAATCCTCAGATCTCCCTTTGCCAGAACCTCCTATTCTTCCTTGAGATTGAGCAAAATCTCTTTTCCTCAGCCTCTTTTTACACACAGCAACCACCTATCCTTTGCTTCCCACTCAGTTCAAGCTCTTTCCTTTGGGAAAGCAGGGGGTCAGTAGAGATTTATCTTGCCTAGGTTGACTTGAGCTGGTCCTGCATAGCTGTTCTCTTCTTACTAAACTTCCAAACCCTGTCCCAGTTATAAACACAGCAATATAAACCCACTGCATCCCCTAGTGGCAGTTGCCACTCTGTATATATGACACAAACTACACTTTTCTTCATTGATTCAACGTGGCAAGTGAAAAACATTCTAACACTGAGCACACAAGACTTTAGGGAAGGGAAATAAATTAAAATATATACCTGATTTTTCATTCTGAACTTTGAAAGGCTTGCAGCCCACCCCCCTCCCTGAATCCTCCATTTCAAATTTCATATGGGTAATATGAGTCATATTGATTTTTATAAAGGAACAGAATTTGTGGTTTTAATAGATTGTCTCACACCTTAATTACAGAATGACGCCTATGGCTCTTTAATATAAGCGTAATGTGGGCAGTAATTATAATAAGAAATACACATAATTTAGTCTCATACTTAAAAGGTGAAGGCTTAGCCTGCTAGAAGGATTAAGCATTTAGTTATGAGGTAAAGTCTTGGATAGGAGTTCCTTCGGAGATGTTATTAAGCAACCATAAAAGCTTTTAGTTGCTTGAAGCCCACTTACGTTCAAAGAACAAGTGAGCTGAGCTACCGCACTGGTGGGGAATCTGTGGCCTTTAGATGTTGCTAGACTATACAACTGCCATCATACCTGACCACTGGCTATGCTCGCTGGGGTTGATGGGAGTTGGTGTTTAACAGGTTCCCCATTCCTTGGGGTACAATCTGCTAGGCAAGGGAAATCTTCTTCTCAACTTGCAGTCACACACACTGATTGTGGATACTGAGAAGAGATCCCAGACACTAACATAAACCAGAAAAATAGGAATCCAAACTCTCACCCTTCAATTCCAGTAACATGATTTACTGAAGAGGCACCTTTCAGTGAAGGTGGAACTTCCAGGTGAGAGAGAACTGCTGGGACAGGGTTTGGAAGTTTAGTAAGAAGACTAACTGAGGCTGAAGCAACATCCGAACAGGGGCAAACTTTGAAAATATGGCACCCTGTGCAAGGCTAAAATTTGTGTAACTGCCCCACCCATTTGTGACTAGACGCTATTCAACAGGAGCCCCACAATGCACTTATGACTGTATTCCATTCAGCACTTCCCTGGCAATCTCAACTGAGAAGCTGGGATTGGGCGAGAACAAGTGACAAAATATTGGTGTTTGAATGTTGAGTAAATGCAATGTTCACACAGCAGAAATTCAGTTAAGAGCAGATATATTGATTGCTGCAACTATACACTTTGCTTTTTTTAAATGACTACAGAGTGCCTAAACTGTTTAAGAAGTACAAATTCAAAACAGAAATTCACACAATGGAACTAGTTGTGTGGAACTTTGGATCTCAGTCTCTACATATGATGTCTCAAGACTTTTCCAGTACAAAAAGGAGCTTGCCAACCTTGCTCACTATAGTAGTGTGTTACAATTAGTTAAGAGAAGAGCTCTTCAACAGAATGGTGTCAGCTATCTGAGAAGACTTTAGCAGGCAGTTCCTTTTAATTGTATTCCAACAGGAGTAGTGCTAAATATTGCTTATTTATAGCCCCAAGAGAAACATTTGATAGCTGCCTATATATTTTTCATTTATCTCTCCAATATTGGGTTCTAGCAAGAACCCCTGGCTGGATTAGGAACATGCTACTGAATCAAGGCCTCTCAGCTGCTTTCTCTTCAAAATAGGAGCAGCAGCATTATGCACACTTTTAAAAAAGCTTAAATCAAGTAACACACTGTTTAGCCCTCCCAAAATGCCATGATTCTTTGCATTACACAGTAAGCCAATTAGAGCTTACCAGCACTGCATAGGCTCCTGGAGAGGAGCTCATCCCTCTTTGCTTCTCTCTCTAGTCCTTCTTTATTCCCACATTGCACTGAGCTAATCCACAGTTTGGCAAAGTGTGGTGTTCAAACCTGGGCTCACAGTAAAACTCTCATCTTGTTAATTTTGAGTTGTAGACAAGAATAAACCCTGGCTACAGCTCATGGCTAGTTAGGAGAGAACTTCACCACACACTTGGGTTTCGGTGGCATGCTAAACATGCGAATAAAAAAGGCTGGAAGAAGCAAAGCATCTGTGACTTCTTCTCTGAAAGCCTGTGCAGTCCCACAGCCATAGTTCAGCTTACTGGGTCATGTGAACTAGGCCAATGAAATTTTCTTCAGAACTATTGTATTATTTACATGCAAACTTATGCAGATTTAAAGCAAAACTCAGATGATTAATTGAGTAAGATTTCCTTCATCAAGCAACAGCACTGCTGTAATAAAATCAGAATACTGAGATATAACCCCACAAGAGAACCTTAGTAAATTTAAATAATTAAATAAAAAATAGCTAATCAAATATAGCTAAAGATATTTAAGACAGCAAGTCAATATAGAACAACACAATTCCGTGCTTTATCTATTTGCAAGATCTTTTGTTTACTATCACATGGATGGCTACTAGCTTCCACTTTGCTATTAAAACAGGGAGATTATTGCCAACAGAACAAGGTTACTAGTCACTATAGTACAGTCTAAATTATAATCTAATCAACAGAGCCATATATACGTGTTCCATTTTGAGAATAATTTCAATTTTGTTTTCCAAATTTAAAAAAAAACCTAAGGCCCCTACTATTTTCATATTCTTTATTTTCTTAAGTCACAGCAGACTTAAGCTTGTGCGCATGTACACACACATGTGCTTGCACACAAATGCGCAGTTTCTGTAGTTCACCTATTCCTCTGCTACTTTGTGTCTGATCATTCATTAAAAGCTCGGCACTTGACAGTGTCTAGTGGAAGAACCTAATCATGTCACGATCTGGGAATATGATAATATAGCTCTTCACATGTTGTAGCAGAAATCATTTACTTACTTGAGGATCCCTGGCAGTCTTTGATCTCATCATGATGCTTGAGGTGACGTGCAATTGAGTACGCAGAACAGCAGACAAAAGCAGCAAGGCCAAAAATGGAGAGGGAGAATATAGCAGAGGAGGCAGCCACAATTAAAGGCAAGAGAGACAAAGGGAAACAGCATGTTAGTTTGAAACTAAAAATAAAAAATGCACATCAGTCCTGATTAATTTTCTTAAGAACAACACAGCACCCCCCCAAAAAAAAAAAAAGAGAAAACAAAACAAGTGTGCTTAGCAACAGGCCATTATTAGCTTTGCTACAGTTAATGAATGACTAATTTCTCCAGAAGTACAAATACTTTTCAAAATTATTTTTCATTTATCCAATCACATAACACACCAACTTCCACTGTAAAAGGGATGCCTTTTACAATAAAGGAAGTTTAACTTTCATTCAATCCATTGATAGTAGAAAGTAGCTGCAGAACTTAAAATCAAGTCTTTACCTTCAGTTTACAACAGCTAACTAAATTATACTGAATAATACTACATCAAATATAGTGAGTTAGAATGGAATCTTGTTCTAATGAGGGAGATGCATACAATATTGTCAAGTATATTATTAAAAATATGGATTTCAACTAGGCATAATTTCTTCCAATAGCAAACTGAGGTAGTTGAATGAATATCAATTTGGAAGCAAAACAGGGTAACCCAAAAAATGGGGGGTGAAGTGGGGGGGTAGTCCATAGGCAGCCTTGGGGAAGTGGGTGAGAAAAACGTTTGATGAATAATATGAAGGTTAAAAAATACTCCCTTCAACTACAGTGAGATAAGTCAACATTAGGCAAAGTGAGGCAACTGCTCCAAGCAGCAGCAGCAGCACCACCAAATGTTCTTTCTGTGCAACTCCCATTTCCATTTGTTGCTACACAACCTCTCCTGGGTACCCCTAAACTGGCATGCTGTCTTAGCATGATGAAGAATGCAACCTGAACATCATGAGAAGATTCCCATTTACATTCAGCTAGAGCTCTGAATAACACTCCTCTCATGGACGGGATATTCTACAAGCCTTTGGGTTCCCACTTGAATGATATAAAATTACATACTGATACAATTATACAATATTCTTTGTTATTATTAAGCATTGTTTTAAAATTGCACCATGCATTTAAATTATTTAAAACCTGACAGCCACAAACCACTACTAATAGTACATCAAAACTGTTAGCAAGAGTTGCTGTAAAAGGCTGTCAGTCTAAGCAGAGGAAGAGCTGCTTGGCCTTCTTCATTTTTGCCTCTCCTCCCCTTGATCAAACATGTCTCCCCCAGCTGCTTTTCCACTGGGAAGGGGGGGGTAGAGATGAGTACAGTGGTAGGGGGAGTTCTTCCTTAGGGAAGAAAATTAGCTGTGGGGGATTTTGAACAATACATTCTGAAGGGAGGGTAGTGTAGTCTTTCTTCCATGGTTACTTTTAATATAAAAAGAAACACAGACCATCACACACGTCTCTTTTGGCCCTTACAGATATGGGAAAGTCAGAATCCTATGTGTCTAAGAGTTCTTTGTCATTCAGCACTTTAGTGGAGAAAGAAAAAAAAATCATGATAAAATCAGAAATGTATGATTTTTAAAATAGTATCCTTTTAGAGGTGTTCTTTTGTTAAAAGTGAAAGATCTGCTATGTAGTCTAAACTTGATTCGTACCTACCTTAATAAGCAACTGTCTAAATAGTTGCATGACTGAATATTTACATGTTCTTTGAAGCAACCAATGAACATCACTATGACATGAATGTTAATGACTATAATAATAATAATATTCAGTATGCTTCTGAAATTCATTATGCTTAAACTATGGTGTTAACTAAAAACCTTACCTCAAATCTATTAAAATACTTCCTTCTCTGTTTAAAGATTCCTGTCTGTTATCTCTACTAAAGGAAAAGAAAATGTACCATATTAAATCAAGTTTGTGGGGTGGGGGGGCTAGCATAGCTCAGTGGCAGACTGTGTGCTTTGGTCTCAGGATCAATCCCAAAAACCTCCAGAGAGGGATGAGAAACATCTCTGTCTGGAATCCTAGAAAGCTATTGTCAGTCAGTGCAGACAATAGTGAGCTAGATCAGGGGTAGCCTTCCAGTTGTTGGTGAGGGCTTGGGGGAGTGGGGAGTTGTGGTTCAACATCTAAAGGAAACCACACTGGTTACTCCTGAGCTATGTGGTTCTTAGTCAGTTTGAAAAACATGGGGAGTGGATCATGACCCACTCTGAAGTGGGTTAAACTAGCAACACTTTTGCTAAGAAAAGTAGGAAGATCTGCACACAGTCAAAAATAACAACAACAATCAGGACCGTGTCCCGTATTGCAGATAAAAGGTTATAAGCAAGTTCAGTGTCTGAAAAACAACTCGCTACAAGAGTACTTTTGCCTTGCATTGGCGGTAACATAATTAAATAACGTTCAAGATTATGGAATATGTTTGCGCTGGTAATGCTATGGAGGCACTTTGGGACAGTTTGAAGTTAGCATAACACATCTGAGAGCAATGCTACACATTTTAATGGACTTTTATTTTACAGTTACAGATAGGTAGCCGTGTTGGTCTGCCATAGTCAAAACAAAAAAAAATTCCTTCCAGTAGCACCTTAAAGACCAACTAAGTTAGTTCTTGGTATGAGCTTTCGTGTGCATGCACACTTCTTCAGATACAGTGTGTATATGAAGAAGTGTGCATGCACACGAAAGCTCATACCAAGAACTAACTTAGTTGGTCTTTAAGGTGCTACTGGAAGGAATTTTTTTTGTTTTATTTTACAGTTATAGATTAAAATAATACTAATGGTAAGTCAAACTGTCATGAAACAATAGATCGAGTGTTGCAAATCAACTAGAATAATCACTTGCTAAATGAATGTCTTCCAAGCTCATTGTGAAAACTACATGTCATCTCTCATGCAACACTTTGAAGGAAAGAGGAGGAGAAAGACAGAAATAGCATCTTAAGCATAAATGACTCAGATGAGTCTTACAATGGAGCAACTATATTATCAGTACTTACATGATAAAATAGAGCAGAGGATAGTCTAGCCACTAAGACCTCCGCAAGCCTGTACAACTGAGCAAATGCCAACAAGAGAAGCACTGAAATGGGAAAGCTGAGTGAAGCAGATAAAAGCTGATCGTCCAAGATTATTGTAATGGCCAGTATGTAAATATTTCAGCACTGCATAGCTAATTACTTTCAAGGAGCTCCTAAGCAACAGGCTAACACACAAGTCTACTGAGATCTGCTACTGCTATATTGTACTCGTGAAAAAAATCCCTATATATACTGTACTGCCTCAAACTAATTAAAAGAGCCAAACTACAATCTGACATATAAAAATCGCAGTTCATATTATGTAGGAAATAAGCAAGAATTTAGTTTTTCAAACTCTTACAATGTAGCAATTTACTTGTTGAATATAACAATTTATATAGAAGAAAGGACTTTTTCAAAAACTGGGATTCAACATTTTCTATCATGTTGCTTACCTAATTAGAGATTTAGTTATTTCTTTCACTTGTTCATTTAAACATTTTTCTAAATCTCAAGCTGATTCTGGTGAGCCTAGAATACAGGCACACCCATTAGAGAGAGGAAAAATAATTTCACTAGTCAATGGCATCTATTTGCCTTTGATTTTTTTGTCCTGGCCACAATATCATTAAATTGAAGCTTTAAATTAAGACGTATATTCCAATTTGGTTGTGTTGTCTCACACACTTACCTTCCACATAGTTCAGGAAAAGCAGCCCAATTTTCAGAATGGCATTTTGTTTAACACTGAGATCTTCTATACTTCTTCTATGCTTTTCCTGTTCTAACAATATTCCAAATCTTTGCAAACTACCACATGATGGAAGGCGGTTGCTTTCACAATTCTTTATCTACCACTACCATTTCCTGTTGCAGTTGCTATATATTCTGCTTCTTGTGTAACCCTGTTATTTCTTATTTCCTACCAGGTTCAACATGAGTTTCCTACTGGACCAGTTTAAACCAGCCGTCACCAACCCGGTGCCCTCCAGAAGTTTGGGACTACAGCTCCTGCCAGCCCAGCCATGCTGATGAGAGTTTTAGCCCAAAAGATCTGGAGGGCACCAGGTTGGTGGCAGCTGGTTTAAATTAAATCAGAAGTGTGAAAAGGGAAAAAGCAAGCAAACTGCAAGGGTTTATAAAAAGTATATTTGATATTCAATTTGTTGGGAAGTTTTTACATTGTAGACATGCAAATTATGAAACACTGCAAAGTACTATTCTACACTTTCTACTAAAATTCATCTGCTTTTGTGGTTTAAATTAGATGCTACTAAAAGAACAAAACCATCAAAGCATTTCCCTCTTTTTTTCTTTTTTGAGGGTAGGGAATTCTTCTGACGATATGTGCTCAAACCTCAAGTAACTCTCTTTTACACACCTTCCCAGTGGGGAAAATTGTTGATGTTTATTGTAAAAGGGAAGGGGCACTCCTATTCCCACTTACCTGAGATTAGGTCCCCCTGAACTCAATGGAATTACTTCTGAGTAGACATGTTTAGGATTGCAGTATTAGTTGGTTGTGAAGCTACATGGCTGTCTGAGGAAATGCCCTTTGTTTAGGATTTAACCATTGCCAGTCACTATGTACAAAATTACTTACCGAAGTTCTATCCGGCTCCCCTTCAAAGCTAGTTGTCTCCATAATGAAGCAGAACTTGTCTTTCACTTAAAGTCCTTCCATTCTGTATCTATCAAGAAAAAACACACCTAAAATTAACTGTGAATATAGGTAACATATTGCAACTGAACGAATTACTTTTGATGAGTAACACAGCAGGACACATTGTTCACCACCAATACAATTTATTTCTAAAAATAAATAAGAAAGCAGTATTTGTAGATGATATACTGCTGACTTTGTTAGAAAATAAAGAAAAGGTAGATAGGTGAGCAAATTTTGTTCTCCAAAGTATTTACACAATAGCTAACTGGATACAGATCGCTATTCAGTAATAGGCTATGTGAAGATTACTTGACTCTCAATTTAAATCAGTAAGTTGGTGAAAATAAGCTGATGATACAACGAACAAGCTAGAATAGATTTCAGAATTCTTTGCAGTTCAGTGGTTGTCAAAGAGTGTGGCAAGCCATACTGGTGTGGCAGGAGGGGATGGCAAGTGTGGCGGGAAAATTCAAGGACAATCAAAGAAATATTTAAACATTTCAGGGTAATATAGCATATAGTATCAAAATAGTTGTTTTTTTAATTTGCAATATATGGATAGATATCTTTTCAAAATGAGAGCAAGAACATCAAGTGTAGGGCTGCTATACATTTGGGATTCATCCTCCAAAAATAGCATCCGGGCAGATTTTTCAGAAAGCGATTAAAATATCCAGGAAAATCTGGGCATATGGCAGCCCTTTTTGGGGGGTGAATTTCCTAAAAAAAACCCTCAAAAAAAACTCAGCAACTTTTGTGTCTGGATTTTAACTTTTTGAAATATGGCAACCCTAACCAAGTTATACTACAAGCTCACCTCTCTCATTGAGTTTGTATAAATACTTAAGGTACATATGTAAGAGGCTCATTTATAATTATATTTTGGGAATGATTCATGCTTTATACTTTCTGGGTGTCCGAGGATATTACAAAATAATTGTGTCCCGTGTTATAAATCAAGCACTGTTAGGAGCTGTTTCTTTTTGCTTTCCAATGTATTTCTTATCCATAAAAAAGTTGGTGATGCATGAGCAAATTTTTTTTCTGAAAGTGTGGCCCAGAGAAAAAAGTTTGAAAACCACTACTGTAGTTGATGTTATTAGCTTTTGGGAAATCATGAAAGGACCTCCCCTCAAGATGTTATAGGAGCAAAAACGGGGGGGGGGGCATAGAAAGCTTTTTTAAGCATAATTGGTGCACTGGGAAGTTGGAAGTTACAACTGAGGAAGGAAAGGTCAACCCTTCTTCATCTGATGCAGTCTCCATGAAAATAACACAGCCCTCCAGTATTATGTTTTTTTAAAAAAGCTAAAGCTCCATGTGGTGTGGTAAGTGAAAGAGAGGAGGGGTGAGTGGGTGCTGTGGGGGGGGGGTTGTATGAATGCATGTGTGTGTACAAGAGAGGGAATGACCCCATCGACTTTTTGCATTGGGTGCGTCTAAAACAGGCATATGGCCCCCATAAGGTTAGCCATAAGGGGAAGTGGCCCTCAGGCTGAAAAAGGTTTCCCATACCTACTGTAACCAATTTGCATATAAATCACTTCTGTTTAAGAAGTTTCGAAGTACCATTTCATCATCATTATCAATGCCAATTAAATTCCCACAATCCTGTGTATGCCATCCTCAACAACTGGTCTACAGTATCTGCAGCCATGGTGTGAACTGCTTGCAGAAATTGTGGTTTCCACTAAATTCTCTGTATTGAATATAAACAGTACTATCCAATAGTACTGAAAGCACAACACACAGAATTTTTTTGCCGTTGTACAAGAACTACTGACAGTGACTAGTGCTCGAAAAGGTTTATAAATCCACCCTTCCCCTATAAAAGAAGCCAAAATAATTTTGTTATTGATATTAGCAACAACAGAAATGCCATAACAGAAATAAGATTCTTTAAATCCTTAAGATCAAAGCAGCAAGATGGTGAAAGAAACACATCCCAGCAGGAAATGTTTCTTTCATTCTCTCTAATAACACACAAACTTCTAGATAGAGACAGATATCAAAAGTCTGTTTGCATCAATGTATTTGAGCAATGCCAGGACAAAAACAAATCAATAAAAATCTACACAACAACCCAATCATATGTATATTTACTCTGAAGTAATTTACTTCCGATGTGCCAGTGCACTTAGCATTGCAGATCGAGGTCCAGTTGCAGTATAAAGATCCCACTCCAATGAACCACTGCTTATCAATTCAGGAACAAGCCTTGTACCTTTCTAGTTATTCCTTCCCACCTCCCATCATACACTCAACATTGATTAAGATACCTGGTTTGTGAAGCCACAGCTTCTTGTGTTCTCTGAACCATGAAACAGTAGTTTTAAGGCTTCCCCCAAATCAAGACCTGAAAGTAGAATCAGATCCTGGTTTGAAATGAGGTGGTTTTTTTTGTTCAAACTTCCTAGAAAACTGTGGATTAAAGAAACCAGGAAAATTTCATCAAAGGTGGACACACAAAGGGAGAGGGAAGCATTAGGAAAAATATGTGAACACTATCATTATCATATGAAGATACTAATGTCTGCACTGGGCCTAAAGAAAACTTCAGCTGAATTTAACTTTTAGAGGTAAAGCCTCATACTTATTGCACAGAACAGGCATAGCCCGGATTATTTTGTTCTGAACAGCAGTGGAAGCCATGGTAATGTTAGCAACTCCCCCACCCCACCCAGCAATGTGTAAGGCTACAAGTTCATGCATCCATGCATTTTGCTTTAACTCCACCACAGTTCAACCACAGGATCTACCCCCATAGGTTATCTATGTAAAAGAAGAAGGAGGGGGTGAATTTGATACTGCCTTCTGGAATATACCAAATCTAGATGGCCATCAAAATGAAATTTGAATTAAAATATACATACTAAAATAGAATGGCCAAATTTCATGTTATTTCAAAGTTTTAAGTTTAGTCACTTGCTTAAGACACAGGACTTACACATTTGGGGACAGCAAAGGGTAGGGATTCATCGGTTTATTCCAGCCTCACATTTAAACCACAAAATCTATGCCAAAATATGTATTTTAAAATGTATTTAATCTCAATGTATGCATTCTCAACATATTTTATCCTAAAACATGCATTTATAAAATAGGTTTACACTTTATAAAGCTGAGAACTGTATCACAAGTGCAAAACCTGAAGATACTTATATTCCAATCAGTGTATTATTCCAGGGGCTGTGATTTAAGTCAATTTGCTTAAAATGTGGGTCAAATGAAGTCTCCACCATCCCCAGCAAAGGACTTCAAAATAGTCGCTGCTTGGTCATATAACACATATTTCTTCTCCAATCAGTTACAGAGAGAAGATTCTGCAGGCAAAAATTTTGGCTGTATATTCTAAAAATAAAGACAATTCTAAACAATGATACATGTTCTCTTAGCCAAAGATATTTATGCTTGACTTCACTTAGACAGAAATGTAAAATTCAAATTTATAAATGGGGGGGGGGAGAATACTACACTCACTCATCCAACAGATGGGCATTTACAAGTATTTTCCTCATTCAGCAATTAAGGCTTAAGTGAGAAGAAAATGAAGTAACACCTCCAACGCTTTCAACATGCAACTGCCACCTATTTCTATATACTGTTTATAATTAACCTGCATAATCATTCAGTCCAAAACATGAAAATGCAAATTGTCATATTGTATCTTCAGAACCAGAGGAACAGATATTTGAATTCTTTCCCTATTCGGGCCATACCTAACCATTAGGCAAATTCCTAACACCATAGTAAAAACACCTTTTGTCAACCAGAGGTTGCAATATGTAGCAATATGTATTTACTGTGAATCCCATGGCTTACCACATTTATGAAACTTGCATGGTCATCTTCTCCATTTAGTACTACGGAAGTCTGAATAATTACAATGTTTCTCATTCGCTCAGATGAGACATATAAGTTCATTTACTCAGAGTAGTTTTCAAACAAAAGTTGCTTCTCTATTCACAATCTTCCATTTTTAAAATGTTTTTTACTGAGCTTTTAAACAACACATACGATAAACAGAAATCTAAAAATGATATCCAACAGTCTCACACAAAGGAAAGTTACCATAATATAACCTTCCCTGTTACCTGGCAGTAATGTTACTTCCCTTTCCTTAAAAATCACAAATTCTGTGTCAAAGTACTCTTGCAGTCCACTTGGTATGAAAAGTTGGGCCAACCTGTTACAGATAATTCAGAAATAAGCTGCCCTAGTGGTCAAATAATTTCGAAGACATGGCTGCTTGTTTTTCTCACTACTATAGTTTATTTAAAGCCAGGCCCTTATGGGCTTCAAAATGACCCAAGGAACTACAATGCGCAAGCTTGATTTGAGTGCCGCAAACAAGTTAAATACATGATTAAACATGGTGTCTTTGGAGTCGTACCCCACAAATCCATTCAAACTGTTATAATGGAAGCAGTAACAATGTGAGTAAATGTGGGAAAGTCAGAAAGTAGTTATTTCTGACAAAACTCTTACATTGTGGCTATAGTATGCAGCATAGCTTCCACTGCATTTTCAACACAAATAACTGCTGAAAGATGTTAACTTTTTCACACTATCACAGATCAAAGTCAGCAATGCTTCATAAATGAGCAATTCAATTTGTTACTGTAATTAATGAAAAAAATATTACTGATCAAAAGAAGAAGGTAAGACTATAAACAGGAACTAGCTTTAAGGAAGATAATATTACCAATAAACGATATCACCCCTTTGGATAAACTACTGGAAAGGCTACTAATTAAGGTAGCCCTGTCACAGCCTTGGGCTTCTTTGGAATTACTGAAAATCAAGCTTTCCAGTTTATCAAGACAAATAGAAAGGTAAGAATGAGAGGCTGTCATGTGTTAATTGGGCAATGAATCAGAGTACCAAATCACAGAGATACTTTGTGACAATTATGTTAAGCAGTCATTCCAAAAAGGCATCCCAAATGCTATTTGCAAGGAAGTACTTTGTATATATGTCACACATTCACGATATCCCATTTCTAGGAGCTCCACTACCCCGTCA